AAAAAAATTACTTAGGTATATATTTGAAAAACACTAGTTTATAAAAATATCTGAAATTGAACCAGTTTTTAGTACATAAGACTATGGGAAATCCATGGAAATTGATTTCTATCATGAAAGCCTCTCTTTTCATACTGAGACATGAGTAAAATATTTGAAAAAGTTGAAAATTAGCAGTAAAAGCCCAAATAACAAGAGTGAAGGTGATGGTTTCTAATCATGATTGAATTACCTAAAGCATAACTTCAGCTGTTCCTGGTAGTGAGAAGAACTGAGTGAAGATTATACCAGGATAATTGGGCAACTTCCTTACCAAGTTTGGGAAGCTGTGACTCTGTCACTCATGATTAGGTAGTCATTTCTATGACATAATGTTGGCAGAATTATTTCATTTCCTTTGCCTACCTACAATAAAAGCCTGTTCATCAGATGTGAGTGCTTCCTCTCACTTTTCAAAGAACAGCATGTTTATTCTATTTGGTCTCTTTCTGTGGGTAGCACCACAGAGGTCACTTTGGCTCCCCAGCTTCAGTAAACCCACATTAAAGTTCATTTGAAATCACTGAGCAGAATACCAAAAAGAGTCCTCAGTTTCAGCACATGGTGACATTGGTCAGTGTTTTCTGTTTTAGCTTTCTATTTTTTATTAACATTTTTAAGCTTTTAATTAACTGGCAGAATTTTATAAAGTTGTCCCTGCTGAAATTTGGAATATTATTGGAACAGGTGAAAAATGCATTTGACAAATCTCCACTGAGAAGAGAATTTATCAAGTCTCACATTATCAAGTTCAGGTATGTAGACCTAAAACTACTGACTTCTGATTATAACTTAAATGTGAAGTTTTTTTCATGGTTAGTAATAATAAAATTATTATTTTATGTAAAATAATAAAATAATTATTTTTTCATGGTTATTAATATATAAAATTGCCATTTAGTTAGTAAACATTTATTTGACACCTGTTCCGTGTAAGTTGTGGATTACAATGTGCTTTACTCATTCTCTAAATCCCAAAGAAAGCGTTTGCAAGAAAATTAGGAAAGACAGACTTGCTATTGTTAGTTACACTAGAGAATTGTTTTGGGGAAAACAGCTTAAATGAAAACAAAAGTGGATCTATGTCACATACCT